GACTCTGCCTCCCACCTGGGATACCTTGTAGTGGATTCCTCCCCTACAAACGCCGTGTGTCGCTGACTGGCCGACCCCCCGCGAATCTACCGGCGTATCCCTCGTGGTCAAGGTCAGGTAACCAGCGACGCCGAACAAAGCGGGGGCCTACCATCAAGCCACGCCTACCCCCGCTATATAAGACCTCACCTGGCCGTCATCGACCTCTTTCTACTTACCGCCACCAGCAAGCGACATCTCTCAACAGCTCCACACACACGCTCCCCCAGAAAGTTCCTCGCCCTACAGGAACTCTGAGCAAGCTTCGCCCGACTTAGTATCTCTTTAACACTGTGCAATAATATATATATACGGGAAATACATTGTGATTTTCTATTCTACCTCAATCCTGAGTGTTGGATATATTACATGTACGTACGTTGTGAGGCCAAATAAGAGACCCTGACAACCTGCCACAACAGCACACTACAATTGGTGACCCCTGGAGCCATGAACACTACACTCCTTTCTGCTGCCTTACTCCTGGAACTGAGAAGATCGTCCTGCCTGCTGCCAGCCTAGGCCAACCGCCTTACCCGCACCACTTGCTACCCCACTGCTCCACGACGACACCACCCGCACCACGTGCTACCCCACTCCTCCACGACGACACTAACCGCACAACGCGCTACCCCATTACGACACTGTCTCACGACCGTGTGATACACTTCCGCAAGAATGGACGGACGGATCTCTCTACCGACTTTTAACCACAGCGTCGAGGACTGGTTAGATCATGTGGAAGCAATCCTCATCGGCTCACAAGCTACTGATGAGCTAAAGTACGGCGCCCTGCTCTCTTCCTTGCCCACGGAAGTCGCCACGCATGTATCACAGACTATTTCCAACCCTCCAGAGAACAACAAATTCGCCACCCTGCGGGACGCCTTAAAAACGCATTACCGACGGACCCGCCCCAGTCTCCTGCAGAACCTATCTTCTATCTCCCTTGGAAACTCAACTCCGGGACTTCTCTGGGAGGAGATGTGTAGGCTGAACTCCCGGCACACAGACAGACTTCCCGACTCTATCCTGTGCCAACTTCACGTACAAAAGCTCCCCACACAAGTACGTACCATCCTGTCCGCAGTAGATTACTCGACGACACCTGAACTCTACGCAACCGCGGCAGACAGAATATTTAACGAGTGCGCGGCTGCGGACAACCCCACGCCCACACCAGTACTTACCTCCGAACTTGTAAGCCGGGTCAACACCCCTCAGCCGCGCAGTACCTCACAAGATATGAGGGACCTGCTGCAAACCTTGAGGTGCAGTATGAACACCATTGAATAGTTTTGCTCCTCCATGCCTGCCTCTAGACCGGTTCCTAACCCACGCACCGCGCCCTACAATCCCGACGCGCCCTTCCTGCCCCGGAAACCGCCGCCAGACCCCATCACAACGAATATACCCTCTGCTGGTATCACCGGCGTTTTGGCCCCAATGCTCAACGCTGTGAGCCCCACTGCACCTACTCGGGAAACGGCAACAACGGAGGTTGGTTAGACGCCTCAGCCCCCGTCCCTTCAGGCGTCTCACTACTGCATGTCACCAATCGCAACTCCGGCACGAAATTCCTCGTCGACACAGGTTCATCGGTCAGTATCATCCCTCCCTCATGACAAGACACGTCAAAGCAACCCTCTTATGACCTGTTCGCCGCCAACGGTACCCCTATCGCCTCCTACGGCGCACGCACCCTCGCCTTAGACCTCGGTTTCCCCAAGAATCTGCGCTGGTCATTCGTAGTCGCAGACGTGTCTCAACCCATCCTTGGTTTCGACTTCCTCACCTTTCACAAGTTCGGAGTCGACCCAAGCCACCTTCGCCTCATCCATGAGCCTACATCACGCATGATCCAGGGTTCACGTGCCAAAGACACTAACACTATCACCTGTCTTTCGTCGTCCAATGAGTTCTCCCCCATGCTTGAAGAGTTCAAGGAACTTTTCTCACCCCGAGTCTCTCCACCCCCACCACCTACGTTGGGAATTTTTCACCACATCGAGAACAAAGGACCTCCAGTCTTCTCACGGCCCCGCTGCCTGCGCCCTGAGTTCCTGAACGCAGCCAAGGCGGAATTCAACAGACTACTGCAAGACGGCATCATTCGTCCTTCAAAGAGTCCCTGGGCATCGCCTCTTCACATGGTCCTTAAGCCATCATCCGGTGACTGGAGGGTGTGTGGCGACTACAGAGCCCTGAACCTCGTCACCAAACCCAACAGGTGCCCTATTCCAAATGTCCGAGACTTCCACCACAAACTTCATGGCAAGACAATCTTCTCGAAGATCGACTTGGAGCGTGCCTTCCACCAGGTCCCTGTAGCAGATACCCAAAAGACAGCCAGCACCACTCCATTCGGACTCTTCGAGTATTCTTTCACGAGTTTTGGCCTACACAATGCAGCACAGACTTTCCAGAGGTACATGGACCATATGCTTTGCGACCTCGATTTTGTCACCGTCTACATAGACGACATCCTCGTTGCATCTTCGACGCCTGCTGAGCATCATCACCACCTACAACTCCTCCTCCAACGCTTGCAGAACAACAACATGAAGGTTCACCCTGCTAAGTGCGTCTTCGGCAGCCACAACGAGATCGCCGACGCCCTCTCTCATTGTATATCCAACATTCTCCCCTCATCTCCACCCATTGATTATGGGCAACTTGCCACGGCTCAAGAGAATGACTGGGGGCTCACCCTAGGCGAGCCCCTTTGCCTACCCGGGGATTTCTCACTCCCTCCTGACCTGTACCAAACCACTCCTGCCGTCCGTCACGACTTACTCCAAAAGCTACGACAAGCAGTTTCTGTATTCAGAGCTACTGCCCCACGCCGGCCTCCTCGGCGCCCTGAACACATCCCTCCTGCACTACTCACAGCCGAGTATGTTTTCGTCAGGCATGATGCTCACCGCAATCCACTACAACGCCCCTACGATGGACTCTTCCAGGTTGTGACCCGTTCAGCGAAGTTCCTGACGTTTATCCGGAATGGCAGACACGAGACCGTCAGCATAGACAGAGTCAAGCCGGCCACCTTACCCGTTGAGCCCCCGACCCAGCAGCACCACCAACAAACGATGCCTGCACCAGTCTACCCGTAGTTGCCACCGGCAGCCACACCACGCCCACGACATTTTTGGGCACCCTCTTTTCACCCTCAGGTGCCCCCTGCTCCTGTCCTGAACCCTGCTGCCGTGGTAGAACCTGCTCCTATCATAGACCCTGCTGCCGTGGTAGAAAATGCTCCTATCATAGACCCTCCTCCTGTCATGAACCCTGCTGCCATCATAGAACCTGCTCCTGTTATAGAACCTGCTCCTGTCATGGACCCTCCCCCTGACGTCGCCCCTGACCCAGTCAACCCAGCCAGTGGCCCTAAGGAAGCTGCCCCAGCCGCTATAGAAGCACAACAACAATTGCCTGTACAACCTCCTCTAATCCAAAACCCTCTTTCTCCCCCTGATTCCCCCACAGGTTCTGTGTCACTAGACGGAGTTGTCACCAGCAACGGCCGAGTGGTTCATACACCTGCCCGGTATGTATCACGTGTGGGACGTAAGCCCGGCTAACATCCCCGTCGCGCCCAGAGGGGAGGGGAAGTATTGTAGTGGAGTCCTCCCTTACAAACGCCGTGTGTCGCTGACTGGCCGACCCCCCGCAAATGTACTGGCCTATCCCTCTTGGTCAAGGTCAGGTAACCAGCGACGCCGAACAAAGCGGGGGCCTACCATCAAGCCACGCCTACCCCGGTTATATAAGACCTCACCTGGCCTTCACCGACCTCTTTCTACTTACCGCCACCAGCAAGCAACATCTCTCAACAGCTCCATACACACGCTCCCTCAGAAAGTTCCTCGCCCTACAGGAACTCTGAGCAAGCTTCGCCCGACTTAGTATCTCTTTAACACTGTGCTGTGCAACAATATAAATACGGGAAACACATTGTGATTTTCCATATCTACCTCAATCCTGAGTGTTGGATATATTTCATGTACGTACGTTGTGAGGCCAAATAAGAGACCCTGACAACCTGCCACAACAGTACACTACAGTACATTTAAGTACAAAGTGTGTACAGTAAAATGCTGCTCAAAATCCTGGCTTTTTTGTATTTAAATTACATTTAATATTTGTTTAATTTAAGTTTCTACCAGTCCATGGTGCTTTAGAGAGACAGGGGTGTATCATTAGTGGGTCAGAGGGGTATTGTTGATTCATTATTTCCTGACCTCGGTTGGTTCGACAAAACGTATAATTCGGCAAGCCTTTGGAACCAAGGGTGCTGGGTCTCGTGGTTACACCAGCCAGGTCTCGTGGTTACACCAGCCAGGTCTTGTGGTTACACCAGCCAGGTCTCCTGGTTACACCAGCCAGGTCTCTTGGTTACACCAGCCAGGTCTCGTGGTTACACCAGCCAGGTCTCTGGTTACACCAGCCAGGTCTCATGGTTACACCAGCCAGGTGTCATCATTACACCAGCTAGGTCTCATGGTTACACCAGCCAGGTCTCATGGTTACACCAGCCAGGTCTCATGGTTACACCAGCCAGGTGTCATCGTTACACCAGCCAGGTGTCATCGTTACACCAGCCAGGTGTCGTGGCTACACCAGCCAGGTGTCATGGTTACACCAGCCAGGTGTCATGGTTACACCAGCCAGGTGTCATCGTTACACCAGCCAGGTGTCATCGTTACACCAGCCAGGTGTCATTGTTACACCAGCCAGGTGTCATCGTTACACCAGCCAGGTCGTACACCAGCCAGGTGTCATGGTTACACCAGCCAGGTGTCATCGTTACACCAGCCAGGTGTCATCGTTACACCAGCCAGGTGTCATGTTACACCAGCCAGGTGTCATTGTTACACCAGCCAGGTGTCATCGTTACACCAGCCAGGTCTCAAAAGGTAGGGTTTCATTATAGCACCATTTATGTAAAATGCTATTAAAATTTTATGTATTTATATCTGTTGTTCTTCATTTATAGCCATGATTAAGCAGTTACTGACAAGTATTGCGTGGGATGTTGACTACTTGATCATTGACACTCCTCCCGGCACATCTGATGAACACATTTCTGTTATGGAAAATATGAGGTAAGTATGTGTCCTTGTAGAATGGTGTTTTGATATGTTTCCACACTGTTGTATTATGGTGTGCTGGTATGTATCCACACTGTTGTATTATGGTGTTTTGATGTGTCCGCACTGTTGTATTATGGGGTGTTGGTATGTGTCCACACTGTTGTATTATGGGGTGTTGGTATGTGTCCACACTGTTGAATTATGTTGTGTTGGTATGTGTCCACACTGTTGTATTATGGAGTGTTGGTATGTGTCCACACTCTTGTATTATGGTGTGTTGGTATGTGTCCACACTGTTGTATTATGGTGTGTTGATATGTGTCCACACTCTTGTATTATGGTGTGTTGGTATGTGTCCACACTGTTGTATTATGGTGTGTTGATATGTGTCCACAGTCATGTATTATGGTGTGTTGGTATGTGTCCACACTGTTGTATTATGGTGTGTTGATATGTGTCCACACTTATGTATTATGGTGTGTTGGTATGTATCCACACTGTTGTATTATGGTGTTTTGATGTGTCCGCACTGTTGTATTATGGGGTGTTGGTATGTGTCCACACTGTTGTATTATGGTGTGTTGGTATGTGTCCACACTGTTGAATTATGTTGTGTTGGTATGTGTCCACACTGTTGTATTATGGAGTGTTGGTATGTATCCACACTGTTGTATTATGGTGTGCTTGTATGTATCCAAACTGTTGTATTATGGTGTTTTGATGTGTCCGCACTGTTGTATTATCGGGTGTTGGTATGTGTCCACTGTTTGTATTACTCAGTGTGTTGTTATGTGTCCCACACTGTTGTATTATGGTGTGTTGGTATGTGTCCACACTGTTGTATTATGGTGTGTTGGTATGTGTCCACACTGTTGTATTATGGTGCGTTGGTATGTGTCCACACTGTTGTATTATGGTGTGTTGATATGTGTACACACTGTTGTATTATGGTGTGCTCGTATGTGTCCACACTGTTGTATTATGGTGTGTTGGTATGTGTCCACACTGTTGTATTATGGTGTGTTGGTATGCGTCCAAACTGTTGTATTATGGTGTGTTGGTATGTGTCCACACTGTTGTGTGCAGTGTGTTGGTACATGTATCCACACTCTTGTATTATTATAATTGTGTTGAATATTGTCCACACTGTTGTATGAACATGTTGATATGTGTCACAGTCATGTATTATGGTGTGTTGGTATGTGTCACACTGTTGTATTATGGTGTGTTGATATGTGTCCACACTTATGTATTATGGTGTGTTGGTATGTATCCACACTGTTACATTATGGTGTGTTGGTATGTATCCACACTGTTGTATTACGGTGTGTTGATATGTGTCCACACTTATGTATTATGGTGTGTTAGTATGTATCCACACTGTTGTATTATGGTGTGTTGATATGTGTCCACACTTATGTATTATGGTGTGTTGGTATGTATCCACACTGTTACATTATGGTGTGTTGGTATGTATCCACACTGTTACATTATGGTGTTGGTATGTATCCACACTGTTGTATTATGGAGTGTTGGTATGTGTCCACACTGTTGTATTATGGTGTGTTGGTATGTGTCCACACTCTTGTATTATGGTGTGTTGGTATGTGTCCACACTCTTGTATTATGGTGTGTTGGTATGTGTCCACACTTGTATTACGGTGTGTTGGTATGTGTCCACACTTGTATTTTCGTGTGTTGGTATGTGTCCACACTGTTGTATTATGGTGTGTTGGTATGTGTCCACACTGTTGTATTATGGTGTGTTGATATGTGTCCACACTTATGTATTATGGTGTGTTGGTATGTATCCACACTGTTACATTATGGTGTGTTGGTATGTATCCACACTGTTGTATTACGGTGTGTTGATATGTGTCCACACTTATGTATTATGGTGTGTTAGTATGTATCCACACTGTTGTATTATGGTGTGTTGATATGTGTCCACACTTATGTATTATGGTGTGTTGGTATGTATCCACACTGTTACATTATGGTGTGTTGGTATGTATCCACACTGTTACATTATGGTGTGTTGGTATGTATCCACACTGTTGTATTATGGAGTGTTGGTATGTGTCCACACTGTTGTATTATGGTGTGTTGGTATGTGTCCACACTCGTGTATTATGGTGTGTGGTATGTGTCCACACTGTTGTATTACGGTGTGTTGGTATGTGTCCACACTTGTATTTTCGTGTGTTGGTATGTGTCCACACTGTTGTATTATGGTGTGTTGGTATGTGTCCACACTGTTGTATTATGGTGTGTTGGTATGTAACCACAATTATGGTGTGTTGTATGTGTCCACACTGTTGTATTATGGTGTGCTGGAGTATGTGTCCACACTACTGAAGTATTATGGTGTGTTGGTATGTGTCCACACTGTTGTATTATGGTGTTTTGGTATGTGTCCACACTGCTGTTGTATTATGGTGTGTTGGTATGTGTCCACACTGCTCTTGTATTATGGTGTGATGTGCCCACACTGTTGTATTATGGTGTACTGGTATGTGTCCGCCCTGCTGTTGTATTATGGTGTGATGTGTCCACACTGTTGTATTATGGTGTACTGGTATGTGTCCATCCTGCTGTTGTATTATGGTGTACTGGTATGTATCCTCACTGTTGTATTATGGTGTGCTGGTATGTGTCCACACTACTGTTGTATTATGGTGTCCTGGTATGTGTCCACACTGTTGTATTATAATGTAGTGATATGTGTCCACACTGCTGTATTATAGTGTGCTGGTATGTGTCAACACTACTGGTGTATTATGGTGCGGTGATATCACTACAGTGATATCTCCGTTAGCCGGCACAATTGGTGCAGAGTACTTACGGGAATGATAGATTTCCGGGTAATGAGACGACTCTCTCGAAGCTGGAAAAAAATCCCTCATCCCCGGAATTTTCCAGATAACTAATATTTTCGGAAGTTCCAAAAATTGCCCATTTCTGTATATATCATCTCTCGAACCCAGAAAAATATTCCTTTTCCTCGAAATTCTCCAGAATTTCTCGGGTAACGGAAAAATGTTTTCGGAAGTTCCAGAAATTGCCCAATGCAGAAAGCTCTCGCTTAATGTCGGTTTTATGTTCCTGAAAATGCGACGTTATATGAAACAACGTTAAGCGGATCAATTTTCCCCATAAGAAATAGATGAAATATGGGGAGGCGGATGGCGGGAGCCAAGGAGTATGGCGGGATCGGATGAGGAGGGTGGGAGCGGAGGAGGGTAGTGAGTCACTGAGACTCTGCGGCTGCCTCCTCCTCCTCCACCGCTGTTTGCTCCTCCTCAGCTGCTGTGTGCTCCTTCTCGGCTGCCGGCTGTTGTGAAGAAGCTCCTTCTGCCGTCCCACGACAAAATAATTAGTCCAGTGTTGACTGCTTGGTGCTATGCTTCTTCCCCTTATACAACTCAGTGTAACAACCAAGACTGTCATCAATGCTGTGTTGAACTTTTGAGCTACGTTCTCTGTTTGGGTCGTCATCTATAAGGATTTGCATTGCTTGCTGGAACAGGTTGAACACTTCTGCCAGCCTCTTGGAAGTTAGCGTTCGTTGAGGTTCTTCTTCGTCGTAGTTGTCTTCAACGGGACTGTGTTCTGTTAGTTGTTGCAGATCTTCATTGGTGAACTCTTCTGTATGGGATGCCAGGACGTCCTCAATATCCTCTGATTCCAGCTTATCAAAGCCTGCCTCTCTAGCCAAGCTGAGGATATCCCTATTCACAGCTGGGACTAAGTCCGTGAATCCCGTAAAACTGTTGATGTACTCGGGCCACAATTTACGCCACACACCATTCAGGCAACTTTCTGAACCCTCTTCCCATGCCTTGCCAATGTTATCAATTGCAAGATGAATTTTGAAGCCCCACCAATATTCTCAGATTGTAGGTTTATTTTCTCCGTCTGTAGCCTTGAGCAGCTGGGCCATGGTACGGCGTAAATAATACGCCTTGAATGCGGCGGTTGACGCCTTGGCTCATAGGCTGCATCAGTGCTGTCGTGTTGGGAGGCAGAAATACAACTTTTACACTGTCATGCAAGTCGTCGAGATTGGGAGGATGAGCTGGAGCATTGTCAAGGATCAGAAGAATTTTGAAGTCAAGGTTCTCCTTGGCACAGTATTCCTTCAGTGCAGGGACGGCGTACACGTTTAACCACTGGCTAAATATGGCACCGGTTATCCATGCCTTCTTATTTGCCTTGTAAATGACAGGAAGGTGATACTTAGTGTAACCTTTCAGGGCCCGTGGGTTGGCAACACGAGAAATCAACATCTGCTTCAGCTTGAAGTCACCGGCAGCGTTCACGCCAAGTAGCAGCGTCAAGCGGTCTTTTGCCGCTTTAAAACCTGACACTCTTTTCTCCTCCTTGTAGATATAGGTCCTTTCAGGCATCCACTTCCAAAAGAGACCAGTCTCATCCACATTGAAGACTTGCTTCGATGAGTAGCTTCCTTCCTGGATAAGCTGTTTAAATTCTGGCGGGAATATCTCGACAGCAACTGTATCTGAACTGGCAGCTTCACCAGTCATCTTTATGTTGTGGAAGTTATAACGACGCTTAACCCTTAGGCCCCATGTGACGTTCCAGAACGTCCAACTAGTGCACCCTGGGTGACGTTTCAGAACTTCCGCCTATTCCCGTCATTTTTTTTATTTTTTTATTTTTATTTTTTTTCAATTTATCCCCGCCGGGTACTGCCATCGGCACCCTAACCCGGGGTTTAAGGGTTAAATCGTTGAAACCATCTTCGATTGGCCGTAAAGGTCTCTTCCTTCGATCCTTCACCCTCTGTTTCCTTCATGTTGTCAAACAAGGATCTGGCCTTATGCTGGATAACCATAAGGCTCACAGGGGCAATGCATTGATTCTGGTCCTCCATCCACATAGCCAGCATCTTTTCCACCTTTTCTATCACAGTGCTTCTAGTACGAGTTGTCTTAGTTACACTCAAGAGTACAGTAGTACCACTTCCAGCACTAACCTTAATCTTGTCAGCGTTGGTCAGGATAGTACGCACCATTGTGGGGGTTAGACCAAGCACAGCGGCTATGTCCACAGCACGTTCCTCTTTTTCAAAACGGGTTAATACATCCATTTTCGTAGCCAGGGTAATGGTCTTACGTTGCCTCTTCACTACACTAGCATCAGTAGCACTTGATGGGCGCTTGGAAGCCATTTCGAATGGTTAGAGTGCAGTTTTAGAGCAAAAGCACTTACCCAGTAAGCACACAAAAATGATGTGAAGTCGTAACAGAGACTAGCTCGGCATCGCTTGTGGATACTGTGACGTTCCGTGAGTGAGGGCAGCGCGCCGAGCTGAGAGAGCGTAGCGTGGCCAAACAAGAGAGGGTGATGCACCTTAAAAAGTAGTCCGTGATGACACAAAACGACGTTTTACCAAGTCACCGGGACGTTAAATGAATTTTTGGTGTCTAAAGTTTAGCGACGTAGTACCAAAACAACGTTAAGAGGGCCGACATTAAGCGAGGACTTACTGTACATCATCTCGTGAACCCAGAAAAATATCCCTCATCCCCAGAATTTTACGTAATTCTCCGGGTAACGGAAAAATGTTCTCAGAAGTTCCAAAAATTGCCCATTACATCCTCTCTCAAACCCGGAAAAAACTCCCCCATCCCCGGAACTTTCCGGAACGGGTACCTGAAATTTTTTTTCTTGGAATTTTCCATAAAGTGTGCTCCTCAGAAAATTTCAATTCTGGCTATCGGAGAGTTCCGAGTTTGAGGGATTCCGGCTAACGGAGATATTACTGTGTCATAACCTAAATCCTTATATATAAAAAATCACTTAATTTAAGACAAAAGAAGGATTTGAATGATAAAATACAGTAAAAGAAAGTAAAAAATAAGTCATCAGGTAAATAAAATACCTGTACAGTACTGTAAATTTCAAGTTTAACCCCGTTCGTATCGGTGGGCATTCGTAAGTCGGGAACCTTCCGTAATATAAATAATGTTTATTTGTGTTGCAGAAGTGCATCTGTGCTCGGAGCTGTATTAGTAACGACTCCACAGATGGTAGCAGTTGCTGATGTTACCAGAGAAATAAGCTTCTGTAGACGAACAGGGATTAACATTCTTGGTATTATAGAGAATATGTCCGGCTTCGTTTGTCCTAATTGTTCGGTAAGTATGTTAAGTTTTCCTTGTCTTACTTATTGTTACATTATAAACACAATATGTACAGTTGTGGAAAAATTAATTTGGTAGGGAGGGAGGAAGGTGGTGTATGGGAAGGTAGGAGTAGGTGGAGACTTGGCGCCATCAAATAGAGATGGCAGTTAAAGGTCTGTGATTTTCTCTTCATACCGCTAAATATTTTTTGTATTTATTTATGCAGGAGGTGCAGCTTATCCAAACATTGCACTGTAAATTACTCAATACACTGCCACCCTGATGAGGTGATGTTGCTAAATCTCTACTGTATTTACACCCCTATCCTCCCATACACCACCTCCCTCCCTCACTGCTGAATTAATTTTTGTCCACAGCTGTACATGAGTCATGTTGCCAAAATGGTAAAAACCTATATTCAATGATGTATGCTCAAGTAAAATTCTTAATAGTCTTAAGTAAATGATAATATTAAAGCATGAATAAATTATTATATTGTTTTGTTTACTTACAGGAATGCAGCAACATATTTGCAACAGGTGGGGGAGAGCAACTGGCTGACAGGGCCAAAGTTCCATTTTTAGGACGAGTGCCTATTGACCCCAGTTTAGTGCGCTGTACTGAGGAAGGACTGAATTACCTTGATAAGTTTGCAAACTCTCCAGTCAGTCAGGTTTACCATTCAGTTGTTAATAAACTATTGGGTAATGAAGCACAGGAAATGGAAGTAGAGAATTAGTTCACATTTAATACATACAGTATTGGAGAGAGGCAGAATAGTCTCATCGTATAAAGGCATTATGAATGAAGAAGAGGTGCAAGTTGTGGATAAATTAAAAAGTTTGAGAGCAATATTCAACAAAGAGGGAATGGCAATGGAAAAGCTAAAGTCAGCAATAGAATAATACAAGGAAGAACAGCTGAAGTCGTGAAAACATCAGTTAATGGCAGGAATGTGAGTATTTTAGGAAACTGCATGAAGGAGCCTCCAACACTTTCATATGGTTGTGGAGTTCAAGTATCTCAGCATAGTGGTAGATCAAATCTGAGAACAGTAGAAATGGATAATCCAGAAAAGGGCTGTAGGAATTGATAGATTCAAGATTAAAGATGTAAGAAGGATGTGTGGAATTGAGAAGTCGATGGAGAGTGGAATGGATGATAGTGCACTAACATGAGTGAGAGTTTGGGTAGAAAGATTTAAGACAACACAGGTAAAGAAGACTGAGATAAAAGTGTACAGACTAAATAAGGGAATTAAGGAGGTCTAGATAATGCTATGTCTCAGAATTATCATGGATCATAAACAGTAAGATTGTTCTGTACATTATAATGGTTAAGTGAATTAACTTTATAATACACTAAATAGATTCATTGAATTAGTGCCAATTAGGATGGCATATTAAGGATGTTAAGATTAATTTGTATACAGTGCTATACAGTAATACTGGTTAGGTTCCTGAGGTCTGTTTGTAGGTTCATTTGTTCGAAAGTCCAACATTACTCTTGTCAATACTGAATACAGTATACAGCATTTTAATAAAAGATTGTACAGACAGCTATACCCCAATAACACTCGACTGTATTTCTTACCAGCCTTAAATGGTATTTTGATGTATAAATAACATGTTTAGTAATAATAAATAAAGGTATTTATAAGGTTACTGTACTTTATTCCTGGTGCTGCCTTGCTTGCTGGGACTGTTGTTGCCTGCAGGGGTGTTGGAGTTAGTTGGAGGATGGAGATGAGGGTGGAGATGGAGGATCAACAGGGTCTGAGGTACAGGTATCTGGTTCTGGGGCACTGGGAATGGCTTTAAAGGTTGTATAACCTCCTGTAGATGTAGATGGCATTAGTTCTTGATGTTCCATTTATTATAATTTCCCTTGCTTTTTGTGTCCCATCTCAACTCTCTTGAAAAACTTATCAAGAGATGTCTGCACAGTTAATCTCTTCTTTTCTTCATAAATTATCTTGTAGCAGGCAATAGCATCGTGAACAGCTGCAGACATTTTTGTAAATTTTTCAGTGTTTGGGTCTTGAGACTCAAAAGAAGCTGTACCTTCTCAATCATGCTGAAATTTTCAGCCAGCTGCATAGAGTTGAACTTTTGGGGTTCCTCAGCCTCCTGTTCCTCCTCAGGGACCTCCTCCTGGACCTTGTGTGACTCCAGCTCCATCAAATCTTCGTTGGTCAGCTCCTGAGTGTGGCATTCCAACAATTCGTGAACATCAGCTTCCTCCATTTCCAAATGCAGTTGCTCGCCCAGTTCCACTAGGTTATTGGCCACTGAATCCACATTCTCTGTAAATCCCTTGAAGTCATTGGCAAATTGTGGGCAGAGCTTCTTCCAAACACCATTCACGTTGGAAGTCTTGACCTCACGCCAGGAAGCATCAATGTTCTTAATGGCCTTGTAGATGATGTAGTTCTTCCAGAACTCTCAGTGTCACTCCACTCTCCCCTCTGTCTCCTTCACATCCTGTGTGAAAGTTCTACACTGGTAGTATGCTTTAAAACTTGCTATGACACCTTGGTCCATAGGCTGCAGGACAGAGGTGGTATTGGGAGGCAAGTACACCACCTTGATGTTGGCGTGGAAATCGTCCAGGAATGATGGATGATCAGGGGCATTATCTAGCACAAGCAGGATCTTGAAGGGCAGGATTTTGTTGTTACAGTCCTTTAACATATCAGGTACAAAATTATGGAAAAAACAGTCTTCGAAGAGGACTTGAGTCATCCATGCCTTAGAGTTAGCCTAACACACAACAGGAAGTGAAGCTTTGACAACACCCTTGAGGGCCCTGGGGTTTTTGGAATGATACACTAACAAAGGTTTTAGTTTGCAGTCATCAGCAACATTTCCACCAAACAGGAGTGTAAGTCTATCCTTCGATGCCTTAAAACCAGGCATAGTCTTCTCTTCTTTGGTGATGTATGTACGATCAGGCATTTTCTTCCAGTATAAATCGGTCTCATCCACATTAAACACCTGCTCTGGTAGGTAACCCCCCCCTCATCAATAATTTCCAACAAAAGCTTAGGAAACTCCCTGGCTGCTACCATGTCAGCACTGGCAGCCTCACCACTCACTTATGTTGTGCAGGTTTGCACGAGCCTTAAACCTGTGGAACCAACCATGGCTAGCAGTAAATGTTTCTTCAGTAACACTCTCACCATGTTTAGCCTTTACGTCTGAATTAAGTTAAGGCTTATAGGCATGCGATGTTGATGCTGGTTTTCCAGCCACACACTCAAAAGTTTTTCCATCTCTGCTATCACTGAGCCTCTTTTCTTACTGATGATCGTGGAATGCATTGGCACAGAACCTTTCACATGTTGCATAATGCGCTCTTTGTCTTTCAAAGTTGTCCCAACAGTCGAACGATTCATCCCAAGAGCATTTGCTATGCTTATCATTTTCTCACCTTTCCGAGATCGAAAATCGAGAGTATTTTCTAAAAATGTCTTGAATAAAGACGAAAGCTCAAGTATTTTGGGGAGGGACCAGACCTGACTCAATGTCAGGTCTCATATTACTGACTTCCTGATGAAATGTCAGGTCACCTTTCTTGGCTGGGGGATTAGTGGGTCTCATGTCCTGAAAATGTCTTGAATAATCACGAAAGCTAAAGTATTTTTAGGGAGATTGTGATAAGTATAAGTATAAATGAGTAAAGTTGTATCCCTTCAACATTACATTACATAACATTTTAAAATATGGAGTGAGAAAGGTGTGGGTGATTAGAGAGATGGAGTGGAAAGGAGTGGTAACATGCACCAGTGTTGCCTAGCAATAAGCTCCTCAACAGCTGATCTTTTAATTTGCCTCCATGCAGTCACACAACAGGACCCTCACTAGAGGCTTGTTGTCTTAATTCCTCTGTGTGTGTGTTTTGAGCTTGCCAAGCACATTAAAGGATTTGAAGAAGTTGATGAAGAGTTTCTTCAGGAGTCAGGTGGTGAGGTGACATGCCAAGACACTTACACAGCACACATGGTGGCTTGACTGGGCTACTTTTGCACTTAGACAACTGATCAATGAATAAACCAGGACATATGGAGACTCATTATACATTAGTGATGTCACAAAGCCATGAAACTGCAACCACATAAATTATCACAACCTTTTTTATCCTTAAGTACTGTATGTATTATAAGTACGGTGTGTGTTAATCTCCCCACCTACCTACCTCCTCCCAGCCAGAGGAGAAGGGTCTGTCGGGGGTAAAAGTGACAGCGACAACCCCCCCCAAACGGCTAATTCACCGTGTGTGTGTGTCAGTGTGGAGTGTGTGTGTACATGTGCATAAGATAAATGACACTGTTTCCATGAGTACATATGTTGCCTCCCGCACAGTCTCACTTTTTTCTCTACCAATTCATTGATCACTTCTATTGTACATACATTACATAACATTAATTAAAAGATACATACAGTATTTTTTACATTAATTTTATTACTGTACATCTACAACCATTATTAGTCAAGGCTTTAGTACACAGAATCAATACAATAAGCTCTAATACTCGCTCATTTCATCCCAAATACTATTGGAAAATTGCTTTGGAAAAATCCCTAAATGGCAACTGTAAGCTGATGGGAATCAGTTCTGTCCATATGGTAGGAGATACCGACTGAACCCCCCCCACCAAAAGATCACTACACTTACATGTACAGTATACGTAGTTCATGAAACACAAGTCAACTTGTGTCATGATGGATGACTTATTAGTATAAAATAAAGAGATTTTCAGGGAATTTTTTTAATATACAGTAGACTCGCAACTTAATCGTATTTTTCTTACATGGTTTCAACTATACTCAGATTACCCCGGGGGTTAGGTTACAATTTCCAATTTCAAACTCAAAATTTTCAAAATTTTTATGTCTAGCGCAAACTATAGCATGTTTATATTCAAATTAATCACTATCTTACAAGAATTCCAGCAATGTTAATTTTATTCTCTTAAGTCAATTCATTGACATTTATAAGAGAAAAACAAAAACTCCCCCTACAGGGTATATGACAGATAAATAAATACCATTAGGTAACCTTGGCCGGCAGCTGGCGCCATCTGTCATAATACATCACCTCCCCCTTCCACTTCTGGCATGATTGAAAGGGGATTTAGGCTTAAAGTTTTTATCTTATATAATATCACAGACTAAAGTTAGGAGAATATAATTTGCATTGCTAGAATCCTTGCAAGACAGTGAATAATTTGAATATATTGTACAGTAGACATCATAATTATATTTTGCACAAGAGATAAACATTAATCCCCTGTATCACATTACAGTCGTGATTTATGAGTTCTAGTGTATATGTACGTATATCTATATTTATGGCGATTTAAGGGCGATTTAGGGGTGTTTCTGACTTCACACGTTTTTTGGCTTTATGCGAAGTCCCAGAAACATAACCCTCGCGTCTACTGTACATATGTATACAGTATTTATAAATAAACACAAATAAAAATTAATGATGGACTATCCAATTTTTGCAGTTTATAAATCAATTACTTCTAATTTCCATTAATTTTCATTAATGTATTTTATAAATTTTGAGGAAAAGGCCCTAGCTATTAATACCAATACAGCGATACAGACACCTGCAACATTTATTAATAATAATAATAATTAACGGTTTATTGAAAAAGTTCTGCAGCCCCGAAGGCTGAAAATATACATTGGACATAAATGACTTATTACATACATTGGTGGTTTAACAAAAGCCTTCATTAGAGAAAGGTGAAGGAACATACAGTGAACATACAGATTAATGTTTACATTGGAGGTCACGTAGATCTTGTGCGCTGAGGTGTTGAACAGCAGACACGTAGTGTAGTAACTCCCTCCTAGATGGTGTTATGAGGGGCATCACATGGTGTAGTAACTCCCTCACAGAAGATGTTATGAGGGGCATCACATGGTGTAGTAGTTCCCTCACAGGTTCCCTCACAGGTGGTGTTATGAGGGGCTTGACGTGGTGTAGTAATTCCCTCACAGATGGTGTTATGAGGGACCTGACGTGGTGTAGTAGTTCCCTCACAGATAGTGTTATGAGGAAACTTACATGATGCTGTAGCAACTCATTCACTACGTGGTGTCGTAGCATCATGTGGACACTACGTGGTCTGGTGTCACAGGACCTCACTCACTCAAGTGAGTGAGGTGTGGTCCCAAGCCTCCCTATCGTGGACGTATTAACACATACTGTAACTGGTGTTGTTGAGTCTCACCGGCAGTTATTATTAGGTGCCTGGGACCTCACTTTGTGAAAGCTGATTTGGGTACGACTCAGCTGTTACAGTTGAGTTGTTTTTCACTGACTTAAGCACTGTTCACCACTTTTCAACACTGGTTCCATTCCTTTCCTAAATGAAATAGAAACTTCTGGCGAGAACTTGATATTCCGGTGGGAAGGAGGGTGTTCAGGGGAGGGGAGGGGAGGGAGTTGGTTTGGGCCAACATAAGAGTTGACCTGCCAGAGCAGCGCCAGGTACGTCTTGACCCTTCGGTATATATTCATTTATGATCAGCCACTTATGGTGTATGTTTTATCATTGCTAATATAAAATATTAAATACCCTGTACTGTACATACTATAACTTGTATAGAAAAATTACAAAATATTGCGTCATGCTCCCGGGTCC